TAATGATGTGTTTTCACAGATAAAGGACTCTCATAGTGAGCATTTCCCAGGTCAGTGCTTAGGTATTTCCATGTGCAAGAAGCTGGATTGCTCACCCCGATCTCATCAGCAGTGGACAGACTGACCAGGGCTGAGCAGCGGCTCCCATCTTGATGAATTCTGCAAGCCTCGACTTCATTGACTTCATTCACTGTTAAGTAAGGTCATGGGATGGTGGGGAGAACCTCCACCCAGCAGTCCTTCCCAGGAATTTGGAACAAGGATTGGGAGAGATTCAGGGTCACTCCTGTGCCTGGAGCTGTAGCCTGGGAACTCAGAAGCTGTGGATGTCCACGTTGCCCCCCATGAAAAGAGGTGGCTGATCTGCACAGACCAGAGAGGAGGGAGGACCGAGGCTGAGGAGTCTGGGCAGCCCCTGAAGAAGCCAGCGTCCATGGGCCTGCTGAACCCTGAGACCCTCCTCATTTTAGTCCAGCTCGAATCGATCTCGGTCACAGCTGCATGAGAGCAGGCTCCTCGGTGGCCTGGCCACTTTGTCCCCTTGCCCCTCAGCTGCCCTGGTGAGAGTCGTCACTCAGTCGTCCATTCAGCAAATGCCCGCTGATGCTGGGCATGGTTTAGGTGCTGGAAGGCATTGCTGAGAACAAGAGATTTTAAAAATTCCTTCCTTTATGAAACATCCCTTCTACTGAAAAGACCCCTGGGAATCACGTACACACATTGGCGAAGGCATGAATTTCAAACTGGGTTCCAGCCAAAGGGGCCGGCTGACCCAGCAGACAGAGCACAAGCCCCAAGTCTTAGAACACATTCCTTTTGGCTTTAAAATAGAATTGTATTAAGAGGGTTTAAATATTATTTCTACAGTGCCTTTGGTTCGCATCCTGGTGCAGCTGCTGAAGGCCGCTCTGACTGGCCCCACCCTGGGGCCGACTCTCTGTGCCTCAGTTTCCACCCGCTTCAGCTGTGGGCAGCTTCCAGCCTCTTTTCAGTTATCACGGGGAAAGTAGGTAACACACATAAGTGACAAATTCACAGATAATTTTAAAATCCAGTTTTAGCCACCCCTTCTCCCACTCAGTTGTTTATCAAAACTACTTAGGAGGCCAAATTCACTGATTTGGTTCTGCCTTCCAGTGCCACTTCTGGTAGAGCTACAAATGAACAGACTGAAGACCAAAAGGCAGCAGGAGGGAGAAGGCAGGCAGGGGGCTGATCCACATGATGAGCACCCGGACTCTCAGACAATCCAGAAACTTCGCTGGGTGAGGCCTCCCTCTTCTATATTGCCTAACGCCTGACTTTCAGACCTCAGCCCAAACCTTCTAATTTAGGAAAGAGTTGCCCATAGTTCTTAGGTGAAACCAGGAGTTAAAACTCCTTTACTTACTGTTTTAATCTAAATACAACACCGAGATTCTTTATGATAAGGCGCTAACAATAAGGCTTAGCAGCCGTAGCTCAGGTGGCTCCTCTCAGCACCTGGACAACAGGAAGTTTGCCATCACTAGCCAGCCTGAGGGCAGGATTTCCAGGAAGTCCACGTTCTGCTGTATCTCTGCCAAAAGTAGTGACAGGTTTTTTTTTATATATTCAATGCTTCAAGTACCCCTTCATGTCCCCCCAAGAATTAATGAAAAACATTCATTCCTGCGTGCATGGGTGTGCATTAGCACACATGCATATACATTTGAGCTTCTCCGGAATACATGCGACCGGTGTCTGTGGGGTCTGGCGATGCAATGTATTAAGATGGAAATGACTCTTTTTTCCACCTTCTCAGGATCATGAGGCTCCTTGCCCAAGATACAGTCTTCTTTTTTGATAAACTGCTGCAGTTGTAAGCTCTGTATCTTGTGGGGCAGTCTCAACTACAGATGTCTTACTAGCTCCTACAACTCCAGGGGATGGCGCAGCTTGAAAAGATGGTAATGATTTAAGAGAGGAAGCAGGGCAGAATTTTAGAAGCCATAACCAACTTGGGATTTTAATAAAAGGAGCAATTTTTGATTCTCACCTCCAGGAATGGTATGTGGATAACCACTAAATGAGTTCTCCAGTTTAGGGCTCCAAATCAAGTTCTTGAGAGACTGTGGTCAGAATGCCTTTATAAATGGAGGCCTGCCCTCATCTTAACCCTAGCTGCCATTGCCTTCCTACTCTCCCATCTCCTTAAAAATGGATGCAGTCAGGCATACGTTTCTCCTAATTTTACCTTGAAGACAGGCTGAATGTATGCAAATAGCTAAGCAGATGCGACCTTATTTTATTAATGGCTGTAGGCTTCCCTCTGCCAGCCCCAGGCAAAGGACGAGGTGGACCATCCAAGCAATCAGTTCTGTTCTGGACCAGAAAGCTCTTTTCCCTTAAATAAAAGTGGGATAGCCAGGACTGTTTGGTTCAGGCATTACATTCAATGCAATGATCTTTCAGTTAGACTACACGCCAATAAAGAATAAATCTCAGGAACTAGGGAATCCTGCACTGGGTGCCAAGAGCCCCGAGCTGGGACTCAGGACCTGGCCATCTGCCTCCCTGTGGATCTTGGGCTGCTCTTAATGACTACAGGTGCAGGGGAGTCCCTGGACCAGTAGCAGAGGGGCCTTGCAGGCCCTTGTTAATGGTGCAGCCAGCCAGCCCAGCTCCACCCCAGACTGACCAAATAAAAATTCTGGTCCTGGGGGCCTAGTACTGTGCATTTCTACAGCACACTAAGTCACTAAGTCTGGGGACCAGCTCAGGATTTGGGGGTCCTCATGTGGAAACCCAGGAGCTGGACACATGACTGCACATCTCTTCCTGCTCGAACACTCTATGATTCTGAGCAGAAGCTACTTTTTTTAGGTTGGTCTCCACATTATCCAGCTGCATTCCTAAAGCCTTACTGGTCACTTCACAGAAAACTGTCAGTTCACCAGGATTTAACAAACACGTAAGAACCTATTTTGAAAATCAAGTGCTTCCTAATACTGGTTGTCAGAGGAAGTTATGCTCACATTGGTGTTTGCACATAGGACTTGCTCCCCACATCAGACAGCAAGCATTCAGCATTCACTCCGTGTCCCTGCCACGACTCTGCAGGAAGTCCTTACAGAAGTCACCTTTCAGGTGTGGGCAAATCACTCTCAACTAATTTCCTGAAGTTCATCTGAGGAGGAACTGGATTTCAGCTTCTGACTACTTAGAGCACCTGATACAAGGTGACTCGCAGGGCCTCTACAACGATGTACGGAAGAGCAATAACGTCTGCCAGTGTTTCAGAACTTGTTATCATGGTTGATATTTGTGACCAATGGTTTATTTGGCAAAACACCAGCTAATGAGCCAAGGACATGGCCTTGCTGTTTTGTAGGCCAGTTGACTTCAATCACTTCCTTTCACTGACCAACCACTCAGCTTGAAACTGTTGACAAAAAGAATCTGACTCACGTGTGAGGTTCCATTCTGGTGCAGTGCCCACGCCAGGTGACCTCTGATGTCAAGCTGGTCCCTCTCTGGGCACCAAGGATAGAGTAGTGTACATGGCCCTGAAAACTCTCAGGAAGAGTCTCTTTAACATCGCTTTGCAATATCATCTGTTCATTATTACCCAAGTTAATTCCTTAATTCCAGTTTTTCCCCAGAAATAAACTCTTCTAGAATAAAACTGGTGTCTTTATGTGGCTCCTGGCTCACCTGAGGGCTGGTCACTCCAGGGCGACCTGGATCAAAGTCTCCCCAGTGACTCCTTCACCCTGTCTAGGACAGAACTTGTCCCTTCTTGGCTCCCTGAGCTCTGCCTTCTTCTCCCTCCTCCTTGCTCCAGACCCTGGAGTCCAGAACTGGATACGGTGATATGGAGAGGCCTGAGGGGGCACTCCCATCACCTGTGCTCTACCAAAGGCCCTGGGAACCGACCAGGGTTGGTGTGGCTGGGCTGTGGAGGAAAGAGGGCAAGGGGAAGGCGAATGTGAGGTTTTAACTTAAGTCTCTGAATTCCTTTGTTTATAGAAGTAATATTAATAGCTACCATTTGCTGAGTGTTGAACTCTGGGCAAGCCCTGAGGGACAGTGCATAAATGCATCCCCTTATTTAATTCTCACAATATTCCCTGGGCCCTGACCCTGATCACCAGACTAGAGCTCTAAAATGTTTCGGTTTCCTAACCCTCTTCCATGTGCCCAGTGAAACAGGGTTCTAAGGTTTAGCTCAAAAATAAAAGGAGACTCATGAAAGATACCCGTGTGTCCAAATAAGGAAAGGGAGAGAAACTTGAGTGAAGGGTATTTAATGTCAGAGGGAAGCTGTACATCTGGGGCAGAGATGAACAGACCGCACCAGGCCGGCCGAGCCTGACCCTGCTTCAATCCGGCAGCACGTGGGGCCTCCGTTGCCGGAGGAAGTGACAGCAGCATCGCAGGCTTTCTCTCCCTGGGTGGGAGCACAGTGCAACGTCCACTCGGTCGGCTCTGCACCTAGATGTGTGCAGCTCCGGCACAGAGACTCAGTGCCACGTCTTTCCTCTAATGTGTCAGGCCAGTGAGCCCCCTCCTCTTGGAGCAGGGGACTTGTGGCAGGGGCCAGTGAACTGTGGAAGGGACCACAAGGGCAGTCGCTGACCAGATGACATCAGACCCCCTCCTCATTTCTGTAACTTTGGGTTCTCTGCAAGTATGCACACGAATGAAAGGTAAGAGCCCTGGGCCTCTTACAGAACCACTCACTATTCTGGACAAAATCCTTAAGACATCACGGCTTAAGCTCAATTCCTACCACAGAGTCTCGTGGCCTAATGGCTGGGGTCACAGGGCAGTCATTCACCGAGCAACGGCTCCAACAGCCAAAGTCGTCTCCTCCACCTACCCACCACCTCTCCTCTCAGGGCTGTGTGACAGACAGTGACTATTCCCAAGTCCCCACCTCCTACCAGAGTGAGGACAAGGGAAGCCCTTTTTCCCACCCTGGATTCGAGAACCAGACAAGTCCAATCCTTAGAGATCTCTAGCATTCCTTAGATAAGTTTTCCTTTCCATGTTCTTCTTTAATTATCATCCATACATTTATCTATACAAATATAGATTCATATAGCTTTATATAATACAGACTTCGTGAGCAAGTGGAGAGGCAGGCCCCTGCTATTTGCACACGTGCTGGTCCACAACCGCCGTGCACTTCCTGCACCGCACATAGCAGCACCAGTGGAACCTGCAGTGGCATCGCTCCACCTGCACGCTCTTGAACTGGTCATAGCCGCGGCCACAGCACATGAGCTCACAGCCATCCATGCCTTCCGAGGTCTTGTTGCACAGGCGGCCCTGCGTGCCCAGTGAGCCAGTGCTCTCGTTGCGCATGCAGTAGTCGGGGCTGGGGTCCACATAGACCAGGTCCTCAGGGCTGGGCTGGCTGAAGCGGCTGTTGACCAGCTCCAGTTTGCCTCTGCGGGTGATGCGCATGGCCGCGGCGCTGTCATACTTCTCCTTCAGCTGGTCCCCCACCTTGCGGAATTCAGCCAGCTGCAGCCAGCAGGTTTTGAGGCTGCAGGATCCCGAGACGCCGTGGCATTTGCAGGCTACATCTGCCATCTTATACACAGCCTGCAGGGGAGTGAGAAAGAGGGGATGAGAAGGGACAACCTGAGGAAAGGGGAAGGTGGTCAGGGGGGCCACAGGCCAGGGATGGCAGAGGGTTGATGGTGCGGTGTGGGGGAGGTTTCCAAATGTATACAAAGATCTTTCCAGGATCACCAGGCACTCAGGCTGAACATGATAAAAGGAACACACATGGAAAACACCAGAGGTGAAGCAACCGTCTGGTCAGCTCAGGGTGGCATTTGGTGCCCCTTTTCCATTTGCTACAATGAATGTGTCATCTCTGCCATCAGAAAAAAACAAGAGTATTTCTCTTTTGATCAAAATCTCAAAGAAAAACCAACAGAACATGTTCAGTTTTTACATGAAAGGGACTATAGGTCAGAAAAAAGAATCCAATCATATTACAAACTGGTAACAGAAACTGCTGGCATGACCCTGGCAAGCCAAAAGCTCTCCCTGACCCTGTCTAATCCCAAGGATTAAATGGTCACTTTTCTGTGTTAACATTTGGTCATTAACTCCATGCAGTTACCAGGAGCCCCACCACAAACCACACCATATTTGTGAGCAAAACCACTTTCTCTGGCCCCAGGCACCCCTGCGAGAGGCTAAGGTGGGAGGAAAGGGGTGAGGCCCTGCCATGAGGAGCAGGCTACAGGGGGGATTCCTTTGAAAACAAATGTACCCTGAAGTCACAGACCCACAACAGTGTGGAGTGGATCTGAACTTAGGTTATCCCAGATCAAAATGTAAAAGCAAGAGCAGAGCAGAAAGCTGCTTATAAAGTGCTTTCCAATGAAAGCATATTGAAGCATTGTGTCCAGGACCCCTGGCAGCAGGCCCAGAAGTGCAGATGGCAGGATAAAAATGCAAGCCTGCTGCAGAACATTTTCTTATGCCATAGCTATTGTCATCAACTGAGTAGGGAATCATTTTTCAAGGGTTTCTCTTGGATTTCTTTTTTCAAGAGCCTTCAGACTGTGTCCTTATTCAGCCCTATTCAGAGACCTACTGCAGGTGCAAGAAACAGCTTAACACCATCAGCTCGTATTACTACTATCAAACTCTTCCTTCTTTTCTGGTGTAGAATTATTCCCACTAGCTTATGGTGGAGACACTGAAGCTCTAGAGAGGCTCAATAACCTGATCAGGGCCACCCAGAAGGGAGTTGCACAACCAGCACTTTTGCGCTCCAGTTGTGGGGTTCAAAATGGCTTAGGATAGAGACGGATGGAAGGTTACAGGAGGCAGCTCCAGGCCCAGAGCACTCAGGCCCGGCGCCCTTCCCAACAGGCACTTCCAAGATGGAATCCGCAATTACCCCAATGGCGCAAGGCCCCTCTGAGCCGGATCCAGGCCTCTGGAAGTGGTCCTTGGCTTACAGAGGGGTGTCAGGCATCTGGCGCCCCTGCAGGGGGAAACATTAAGGGCCTAAAACTGTGTACTCTGCCACTCAGTGACTAAGGGGAAAGGATAAGCATCTGCATGGGAGCAAACGTTCAGGGAGGTGTGGGGAAGGAGCGGTCAAAGCGTGACTCCACAGGGTGGGGGGTCTGAGCCTTAGTGAAGCAAATGCAAGAGGAAGAGTGTCCCTGGCCCTCACCATTTAGACCCTCATCCTGCCCTTCCTCTAGGAAGAAAGAACTTGTAGACATAGCAATATTTGTATTTTTAAGTATTTTACTATTGATAATAAATGTAAGCTCTTTTTGTAAGAAAAGGGGAAAAAATCACAATTTGGGGGCCTTCTAATAAATGAAAATGCCATAAAATGTTTTTTAAAGTTTTCTTAGTTCTACAAAGCCCTCTCTGAGTTCCTCTTCTATAATCAATGGTGTGACTGAGCATGGTAAATGACAGGATGTCACAAGGGTCAGGCAGCTTTTATCTGGACAGTGCTTAGAAGCCCCTGAGTGACCAGACTGCAGCAACCCTCTGCTCTCGCCATCAGTGCTAAAACCAAGTCACTATAGCCTCACAAAGGCCAACGGAAATGTCTTGCAAAGTATGCCCAAGATTTACTCTGTGGTCAAGATGTCAGATCCTAGATATTCTTTTTTTAAAGAAAACCTGGTTATAAAATGCCGAGGGCATTTTCAACCCCTGCTTCCATTTAGTCCTTCCTGAGGGGTTCTGTGTGGAGGTGGGAGGGGATGGGAAGTAAATACCTTTGACCTCAGATGGTGATTGATGGCAGAGGCCTGTTCCTTGGAAAAGGGATAAAAAAATAGAGAGGGACAAGAATTCCCAACCTAGAGCAGACAGGCAAAGGGGGCGATAAAGGGCTAGGGAGAGGTGTGGAGACAGGAGGAAGTGGGCAAAGGCCAGGCAGACAGACAGAGGGAGGCAGAGAAGGCATGTAGCAAGAACCCCGCAGATGGGAGGGAAGGTGCTGCCGAGATAAGGGCCAGGACAAACAAACAAAGAATTAAGGGCAATAAAGCAAGGAGCCAGCAGAAGTGGGGTCAAGACTGTGATTGAAACAGGGCCCAGATTAGGATGAACGCCTGTCACCTGGGCGTCTGCCCAGTGCCCCAAGGAGAGCTCAGAGCAGAGACAGGAAACAGCCTTCTGTGCATTTGACCTCTTACCAGGAGGCAAGATGAGAGCTTTTCTCTGCATGTTCACATGCACCCACCCACAAACGTACAGAGGGATCCTAGGAACCCACAGCCAATACAATGAGGTGGGGAAAGTAATCCCTCCAGGAAAGTGTTAGATACTGTACAGCAGTCCAGATGCAGAGAGGCCACCAGTGATGGGGGAGGGTAAAGATTTTAATGAGTGGGTGGTATTTGAACTGGGATCTTGAGAAATGGGTAGGTTTGGGCATTCAGGAGGCAAAGTGAAGATCTTAACCTTTGTACCCAGTTAGATACCCAGTGACTGGCAAAACAAGCAGACTGCAAACAGAGGAGGTCCTGGGAGCCTGAGGCGGCCCCATGGGTGCCCTTCGAGGGGAAGCTCACCCAGGCACTCAGCCTCTCCACCCTGGATTATACCACAGTGATGATGGAGCTCCTGATGTGGCCACAGATGAACCCCCCACACCCACATCGGCTAAACAAAACCAGTCCTTGGATACGCGCTATGTAAGGGAGTGTCTCACCAGGCAGAAGACCAATTCTAATTTCCACTGGACATGGCACTACTGATGATGCTAAGTTTGCACAGGCATGTCACATTTCACCAAGCCAACATCACAAGACCCTGATCATATAAAACACATCAGCGTTCCATTTATTTGATATGGGTTCCTATGAAACATTAGTTAATTTTTTCAATTGATATGTAAACACTTTACCAGCACCATATCCTGTTTCTGAATCACCAATGAACCCACATTAACCCACATTCATTTCTGGATTTGTTTCTTCTCATGAAACTGCTATTCTCACTTTCTAATTAGGCCATCTTTGGTGTTACGGCAGCATCTTCCCGGAGTCCCTGGGCCCGCTCACTGACCTGACATGGAGCTATCCAGAGCAGTCTGGGATCCCCAGGCCCTTTGCCAGGAGAGGCTCCCAGGCCCAGCACCAAGTCCTCAGACCAGCGAGACATGGGTACATACCACCTCCGCTCCCGCCTGCATACCTGGACTGGCCAAGGAGCACTCCTGAGCAAGCCCTTCGGCTTCTGCAGCAGGGGCAGACTACAGGAGAGGCAGTAAAGGGAAGAGGAGGCCGGAGTACGTCCTCAGAGGCAGGTCTCTGCCAGGAAGGTGCTGGCGAGAAGTGCATGCCCGCCAGCACCGTAAAGGAAGCTGAAGGTGCTGCCCAGGCAGGCTCTACCCAGACGATACGCCCAGCTCACGCTCTAGCTTCTCTTCAAACGGGGGGCCCAGAAGACATAGGATTGGTGAGATTGAGCCTTCCAGGATGGCTCTTTCGCACCTCCACATAAGCTGAAGACTAGCACAGAAGCATGCTTGCTATTAGGCCTGAAATGTGCTTGGGACTGCATTTCTGGGAGTGGTGATGGTAGCTCTTTCAAGTCAGCTCTGCTTTTACCCGAACCTCTAACAAATCCTAAACGTAGGTCAGGCCTCCTGGCCTGAACTTCCAATCATCCTACTGTGAACAGAGGAGGGGCGCGTCAAGGCAGTCTGGAATTCTGGCGCTAAATCCTACAGGGATAGATGTCCCGAGGAGAAATAAATAAGGCTGAGAAAACGACGAGGCCCGCTGGGAAGTGGAGCCCTTTTAGAGGGGTGGACATTTGGGTCACCAGCCGCTGCAGGGGGAGCCTCCGCGGCACACCGAAGCCTGCAGGGACGGGTCGGCCCAGGGTGAGCAGCTGGGGCCTGCGGCTTACCCGTCGCCCCGCCTCGTTGTTCTGCAGGTTCATGAGCACCCGGCCCTGCTCCTCCGACCCTTTGGCGAAGTTCTTCTCCCGCTCCCGGGCGTCCACGAACTCCTTGGCGAAGCGGTAGCCATACTCCACGTTGTCCCCGCAGCCGCCCCACAGCCAGTCCCGCGGCAGGTCCCTGGGCCTCGCCGTCCGGCTGCAGCCGCACGTGGACAGCTCCCCCTCGCGGCAGGCCCGGCTGATGGCGTCCACCACGCCGGCCGCGCTCACCGCGTAGGTGAAGGCCGCCTCCCGGCTTCCTGCAAGGCAGGCGGGCAGGGTCAGAGCAGGTCAGCCTGCCGCGCAGGGGCGCCGGGCGGAGACCCTTCTCTCCCCGTGGCCTCTGATGGTTGGGAACTTCTGTCGCTAATGAGCTGAAATTGCCTCCTCCGCCCTGTCAACTGCAGAGCGGCATGAGCGGCACAACTCCCTCCAGCCCTGGCCTACGCTGACATCCATTCATGAGTTTACATGGCCAGTAGGGTCCTGGGAGGGAGATCCAAATGCAGGGGAGCTGGGCATAAAGGACGTTGTGGAACACGTGGCATGAACAGAACGGGGCCGAGTGGGAATCATGGGACCAACAGGACTCTGTATCCTAGCAAACATCTCTCCCTCCATATGCCACGTTCTCATCAGGGAAGGAGCCACACATCCGCCTTGTTTATTGCTGCCATTATCTAGCTGACAGTGGCAGACACCAGGAGTAGGAGTGAACTAGAATCACAATGTCCAGAATCATCCAAGCTGTTTCCGCTGTTTTCCGTGGGTCCACACTGCCTCCCAACTCCAGAGCACTGGGGAACCACATCTATCATCAAAAACTCAACAAAAAAGAAGTTGGTGAGGATCCGGAAACACTAGAACCCTCCTGTACTGCTGGTGGGAACTAAATGGTGCAGCCGCTTTGGCAAACAGTCTGGCAGCTCCTCAATGGTTAAAAACAGGATTACCGTATCCTAAGAATATATGTAGGATAAATGAAAACATATGCCCGCTCGGAAACTAACACATTAACGTTCATTGCAGCATTATGCATAATAGCCAAAAAGTGGAAACAGCCCATGTAGTCCATCAGCAGATGAATAGGTAAACAAAAGGTGGTAGTTTCTATACAAGGGAATATTACTCAGCCATAAAAAGTAACCAGATACAAAAGACCACATATTGTATGATCCCATTTATGCTGAATGTCCATAACATGAAAATTCATAAAGAAAGATTAGTGTTGCCTAGGGCCTGGGAGGAGTGGGAAAGATGGAGACTGACTGCTCATGGGTATGCAGTTTCTATATAAGGTCATGAGAATGTTATGGAATTAGGTAGCAGTGGTGATTGCACAATCTTGTGAATATATACTTAACTGTGGGCTTTAAAATAGCGAATTGTATGGTACATGAATTTATTTCAGTAAAGCTGTTATGAGAAATAATAAATAATACTCATATAGCCTCAGGTATGGAGGGAAGGGAGTAGTTCTTAGCAGGGAACTGAGATCAGTTCCGATCTCAGGGATTAAACCAGGCAGAATCTACTGCTGTCTCCTCTCCTGAATCTCCTGGTCAGAAGTGGACAATCCACAACCCTGTCTTGGCAGGTAGAGAGGGAAGCTGTCTGAAATCATTAACAGACCTGGTGTGATCTCCTGCCTTGCCCTACTTCTGGATTGTCTAGGCATGCACAGGGAAGTCTGCAACCAGACCAGACTGGGCAAGGCTGTTTTTCTCAGTTAACCAGTGGCCAGCTTCTGGTCAGACGTGGGCTAGATGCAGCATGAGAAAAGCCCAGATGATGCCAAGTCACACTCGTGACTCATCTGTCAGGGCTGACCCTGTGTTCAGTCCCCAACCCCCACCAGAGACTGAGAGTCCGTCTGATCTAGGGGAGTTGAGAAGGTAAGAGGGCCGAGAGACTCTTAGGGAGGAGGCCAGGGACCCTCTGTGAAGGCGTCATGCTGGGTAGTCTTCCTCAGTGGAGCCTCACCCCTGCCCAGCACTCCAGGACAGGAAGCTCTGAAGCTGCAGCCCCGCCTCAGTTCCATCTGCTGTGAGCATTCCTTTCATTGCAATCTGGGGAGAAGCAGGCTGAGATTTCAAGGCACCCACTGCATCTTTCTGAATGACTCATCACCAGAACGTCCCTCCTTATATTCAGCTGAGCAGCGCCTCCCTGTGACTCCTGCCTGCTGGAGCTGTCTAACCCCTCTGTCTGAAAGCCCTTCAGTATTTGAAAACAGTTAATATCCCTTCCCTGTTTTCTCTTTCCCAAACTGCATATGTCTGATTTCCTCTTCCATTCTTCCAGCAAACATATTTTTCAGAGATGAATCACTCATCTCAGAATTGCCTTATAAAGTAATGTACCTAATACCGAAGACATAATATGTTCCGACTGACTGCCCAGATCTGTCCCGATGGTTTGGGACCCCAGGCTATCCTTGCCATCACTCTCTGCTTACTGTGGTGGGGGGCATCATTAGACACAGCGTGCCTGTAGCTTGCCTTCTCGGGGAGCATTCAGATCCTCTGATAAGCCTGCTGAGACAACTAGTGTTACGCTCAGCAAGCCAGCAGTAACTCCTGGCTTCAGAATGGGTGGGCAGCTTGGGGGGCTTCTCTCCACGTGAAACAGTTCAGAGTGGGAACTCAAACCACCCAAGGAGAAAGGCTAACAAGCCAGCAGCCACAGAGAGGTACTAGAGAGATCTTGAATCCTCTCCTTACAAGGAGACAGCAGAACAATATTATGCTCCCCTCTCTGTTCCCCAGTAGCTCAGGGGGTTCCTTCCTGCCTGGGGCCAGGCCAGCGAGGTGCCAGTGGCTCCCTCTGAGCTGCTCTGCTGCTCTCAGTCGGTGGCCTTTGCAGCAGTTTTAGAGAAGGGAGGAATCTTGGGAATGACATACAAGATAGCAGTGAGGGCTTGCCAGGAGGCCCTGGGCCCAGGGGCAGGGATGGGAGGCAGCTTCCCAGGTAGCAGAAGCCAGCTGGGAAGCCACAAAAGGAGGGGTGAAAATAAGGTAAACAGAGGGCTCCATTGGAAACAGAACAGGGTGCAGAGAGAATGTGGGGTTCGGCTTGCTCAGTGCACCCACCGTGCAAATCTGTACCCAACTGTTTTTGTCCCTGCCAACCACTTTATTTCCCAAAGTAATGGCTCACTTTTTGGACTTCTCTCAGATACAGTAACACATGAAAAGGATCTAGCCAATGTCAGGCATACATTAGTTCCCTTAATGTGATGAGGAGATGCCTCTCTCTACACCTGGCTCATCCTCACCCAAACCCAGGATGGGGAGTGCTGCCAACTAAGACTTTTTCCAGGAAGAAGGGACAGACACTAAGCGTACCTGAGAAGAAACTAGGAATAACCCCACTTAACCCCCATGTCCATCCTGTGGGAAAGATGCCCAGTACGACAGTTGCAGGCACATAGGAGAGTTCCTTTCACAGACAGTGAGTGAGTGCTGAATGAGGGGGGAGAGGCAGCAAGGTTCCAGGTGTACATTCCCTGGGCCCTTTGTTCCTATGTGGGGCAGGGGGGAAGGAGCATCCAGTGTCCTTCACAGCAGAGGCGAAGGGGACCTGGGACCTCGAACCCTTCACTGCTCCGCTCCCCTGCTTGCTAAAATCATGCTTTGGCAAAACCCCAAGCGCAGCTAACCCCAACTCCAGAATGTCCCCTTTTGAGGGGAATCTATTTGGGAGAATGGGAGACAGGAGAATACAGTGCTAACACCTTCCTTTTATGGCCCCGGGACAAGACCCAGTAGAATAGGGCCGGATTTCTCAATTTCTTGCCAGGGAGGGGAGGATTGCATTTCAAAAGGACCTAAAACAATTAGACCCCAGATCACACCTCCATCTAAGCAGTGGGGCAGCCAAAGGGCCCTGGACCAGAGTGGGAGAGGGACAGGGACGGGCACTGGGAAGGGGTGGCCCCTCACCTTTCTTCTTAGGCCTTCCCCTCCCCCTCTTTCACACACACATCCCCTTTCAAATGAAAAAACCAGGCTGGATCTGGGTCGGGTTAATGACAGCCAGCACCAGTTCCTTCCCACATTTCTCTCTCTCTCAGGGTCCAAGTGGAAGAGGCCGAAACCCGACAGACACCCAGGGCTGTAATTTTGGGTTCTCTGCCCAAGGCTGTCCACAGAGGTATGTGTGTGTGAGACAAAGTGCAGGGGCGGTGGGCGGGTGCCCTAATCCTCTCCAGCTCAACTCAGAGGCTGACTTCCTCCCCGTGTCACACAGGCAGGTCGCCCCACAGAGGGTGAAGCTGGAGGGGGGCGCTGGCTGAGCACCACTGGGTGGCCGAGCACCTCATCTGAGGCTCTGCCTCCCATGTGCATCCCTCCCTCCTTGCATCATCCAGCCTTGCACATGCATCCAGCCTCAGAGCCCTACCCGAGACTCACACAGGCTGCCCGCGGGCTGGTGCCTAGAAGCCGCACCCACACCCCGGCCGGGTGAGCACCGGGCCTCCGCACCTCTTACCTATCTGCATGACTCTCCCAAACACAGACGAGTCGCCCACCGTGCTGCAGTTCCATCGCCTGTGCCGGAACTGGTGTTGGCACTCCTTGATGCCCGTCTTGGCCCCCTCCCCGATGTAGGCCATGTGCTCCTGGTACAGCTGGCACAGCTTCCTCTGGCCAGGGGAGAGCCCAGGAAGTTGGCTGCACACAGGCTGGGCACCAATGATAAACATCTCGGGTCTCTGCACTGGGTTCATAGCTAATGACCTGCAGCAGTGATGCAGAAAGGGGGGGAAGGCGAGGGCATGAGCACTGCCCGGGGAGCCTTCAGTCATTCAGTCAGCACGTCTGCCCCACGCTTTCTGTGCACAGGGCCCTGTACTAAGGTCTTGGAAAGGACAGTTAGTAAAACAGTGTCTGCCTTCAAAGGGCATTGTAGGGAAACTGAGGCATGGATACAGAGGACATGTGCCACGTCAAATACCTAAGACAGACTTGAGCTTGTGGAGCCACGTGATCAGAGAGTTCTTCAGTTGGGGAGAAGCTTTAACAGAGAGATGGCCAGAGTGTGAACTGGGTCCTAGATGATGGGGACAGGCAGAGAGGGTGACAGAGAGGGCCAGCTGTTCATTGGAGGCAGAGGGCAGAAAGAGCCTCAACAGGAACACACATGACACATTCAGGAGTAAGAGTGATGGGTTCACTTTAGCCCAAGTGCAGGATGCGATAAAAAAACAGTAAGTTCCTTTAACTAGAACTTCCCTTATGCCTTTAGAACAGAATGTCATCTACCTATGCTACAGTACACTCTAAATGTCCCCACATAGATAACCCACAGGCCCCCTGACTGGCCCTTTATCAGTTCAGGGGCTCCCCTGTCGGCTCACCATCTACCAGACATAATAAAGCTAAGTTCTATGAGAAGGCTGTAGATTTGCCACCTGAGTAAAAATCTAAGCAGGGCACAGACCAAGCGAGATAGGCGGTGAGTGCCTCATTTCCATGTGGGCTCAGCAGTGACAACACAAAAGGAAAGCCACAGTGGTCCTGCAGATCCCTCATCTGGTCTTCAGCCTTATAAAATAGGAATGCTACTCTCCTTGCCCCCACCAGCAAAAAAAATAGTCAATATCCTTATTGATCCAATAACAACAAAAGAGCCACTTCTAACAACCCATGGGGATGGAGGAAGGTCCAAGAAAAGGGGAATGTGGACAGGGTCAGGAAGAAAGCCAAATGAACCAATCCTTTATCCTCAAGGAATCTTTACCTTGGGGGCCTGAGAGAGGAAAAGAGCTGTCCTAGTGCCCCTGGGATGAAAGAGGTCCTCAGGGTTCCCAAGAATAAAGGATGATCGGGACTCGGTGCCCTCTCTACAGCGCCATCAGCAAAGGAGGCGGAGGCTGCGGGAGGGATGCCACCTCTCACTCACCACCAGGAGCTGGCTTCGGCTGGAGGCTGAGCCCAGCTGGACAGCAGCGCAGCGGCCAGCAGCAGCAGGCTGGGCATGGTCGGCCCGGCCCTCCCCAGCGCCCCGGGGAAGGCCCAGGGGACTGCCGGCTTCCAGAACAGGGCTCCCTGGAGAAAACAGAAAGGAAGGGAGGATCAATGTGGACATGCACAGAGAAGGGCGCACCTGAGGAGAGGGGAAGGGGGGAAGGGCTGGGGCGGGTCCACCATCAAGTTCTGCTCCCCCTAAAGCCATTCAGCCACTTTGTAAACTCCAAACTCTGTCTCCCACTGCTTCTCTTCCCACCAGAGCCCTACCTTTATACCTCTTACCCAGATGGTGGGAAACCCTACTCAGGACCTAATTCCAAAGGAAACAATGAGCTGACAAACAAGAAAAAGGAAAGGAAAGCGAATGGGCTTGAGAACAGAGCGTGCTCTCTGCAACGTTAGGAAGATGCTCTGGGGCTGCACACCGACCTCTTCCAGGGCAACGGAAGAGACGAACACATCCCATCCACTCCTTCCTTTGCCTCTCAAAGCCAGGGTCTTCTTGTGCGGCCAACAAAGGACTCGCGAGCTGGAATTTACCAGCCAAATAGGGGCCTTCCCTCCCAATCAGTATCATTCTCACTCTTAACTAAGTAAGTTTTCCAAAGCCCAGCCCTTGTTCACCCCCGTTTAGCAGGAATAACATTAGGAATAAGGGCCTATTCACTTTCCCAAAGCCACTTCACTGATAAGTAAAGCCATACTGCGAACTGCTCCCCCCACCCGCCCAAGCTCCGCTGGGGTGCCTTCCTCAGTGGCCCCCTCCCCTCCTTTGCACCGGGTGGCCCAGGGGCAGCTATCTGCGCCTTGCCCAGTGGCATGGAAGTAGCTGCGCGCCCACCCCACTCCTGGTCTGCAGACCCTTGCATCAAGCATCGGTGTGAGGACACATCTGTCTTCCAGAAGCAGCACCCCTTCACTTGCAGCTTGGGAGCTTCCCACGTCTTTGCCTTAGGCTTTTTTCCATGAACGTCCGCACCAGTATCCCCCAAGAACACCTGTCCTGCTGCCCTTGAAAGCCTACAGAAAACTATGCTTTCTGGATCCTCCAGCAGGTCTCTGAAAACACGCCCCACGGCACCCTCCCACCCGGCTTCTCCCTGGGCCTCCATGCAGGGCGCGATCCCACAGCTCCAATGAGTCTTCTCCCCTGGATCCCTTCCCACCTCTGCAAACCTGCACGCGCTCTCCAAGCTGTCTTCCCTCCTCCCCCCATCTCACCGCGCTGCTCCTGCAGCTCTGGGGCTCTGAGCTCTCCGGGAGGGGGTGACAGGTGCTCTGGGTCATCAGCCTAGGAGATATTTTTTGTCCCGGGGCCACCAAGAGAGGAAGGTGGCCTGAGCATGATCCAGGGAAGCTGGGCAACAGCCTGCTCCCCACCCCCTTTTGGTTTTCCTTCTTGAGGTCTCAGTTGGGGAGGGAGCACCAACCGGCAGGTGTGCGGGGCAGCAGGGGGCAGATCAAAGAAGAAACTGCTCCTTCCCCTTTGTCATGCAGAGCCAGTGCGGAAATGATCCGGCCTCTAGCCGGAAGCTAACAGATCCCACACTCTACTTGCCTAACAGACCTCTCCTCCTCTAAAGGATGCCCCCTCCCCCCTGCCTGCTACCCCCCATAAATCCTCCCGTCCCACAGGAGGTCTGTGAATGCACCGACTGGAACCAAGAGAGATGGAGCAGAGATAGGGCTGGCACCAGAAGCTAATGGCTTTATGGAGGGGAGGGGACCAGGTCCCCAGTGGGGAGGACAAGGGAAGAGCTTCAAAGAGCACCCTTTTCCAAACATCCTCAGCTCCACCTTCCAGACCTTCTAGGGGCTGAAGAGTTAGAGCAGTCCCCTGTGCCCTGGTCCTCCGGCCTCCCGCCGCAGCCCTTCCCCACCACCAGCCTCCTGCAACCCCTGTTCTGCCTGACAAAGGAGTTCACATATTCTTGCTGCCAGAGCCCAGACCTTTCTCCCACCTGGAGCCCACACAGTGCTCTCACTTCTGTCACACCTGTCATCAAGCCCCGGGAAGTCTTTCTGCTCTGCAAGTCCTGGATTCAGCTGATGCCACGCTGGGGAGCCGGTGTCTGCTAATGGCCACAGTGGCTTTGACTCCCCCATGACAGGCGGGCAGGCCAGCTAAGGCCAAACTTCCCCAGGAGCTGCTAATTCTGCCCCCCGCACCTCGTAAACTAGGCTGAGATAGGAATCACCCGGCTGCTGTTCTACCACCCTGTGCTTCCCATCAAAAACTCTGTTCATTAAAAAAAATATTTAAAAAACACAAAACAGACTGTAGCACCTGTGGTGGTCCCAAATGGGTGGCACCTTAAGTGGACCCCTAGCACAGCACAGCCCTCGGGATGTGGCATCTCCCGGCAGATGGACGTGAACCACCCCTCCAGCCGCCACAGAGCCGAAGCCTCCCGCTTCCATTCCTACCCTCCTTGGGCAGGGCTGGCAGGAGAAAGGTGAGCTGGTGCTGGCTTCATCAACAAGGACAAAAGGGACACATCCTGCCACAGCCCAGTCGGGGAGGAAGGAGACCATGTGGGGGCCAGTGGCTTGGCCTCCTGAGTGGGAGCCCTTGAAAACCCTACTGGTGGGCCCCCAGTGAGTTTTCTGGGCTCAACCAGGGGAGGCTCTCCTCTGTGTAGGAAGAAAGATATAGTAGATACCCAAAAGGCAGGGAGAGAATTCCTTCTGCTGCCTTCAAACAGCTACAGACTTCCTCTGAGAACTGAAGAGCCTCCTTTCCTCTGAGCAAGGAGTGTCTCTTCAAACACACCAAGCCCAGCTAAGCATGAGGGAATCAGGGTCTATCCCCTGGCTAGAAGATGTTGGGGGCAAGGAAGAGGTGACATTCCCCATCCTGACCCCTCGGACGGCCACAGTGAGCTGGCTGCACATCTGCGCTGCTCTGCTTCTTCAGTCAGCTTTTCATTCATTCAATAAATTCAACCACCAGATACGCTCTGGGGGCCTCTATGTGCCAGTTACTACTCTAAGTGCCAGAGATACAGCAGGAAACAAGTAAATATATGATGGGTGAGGCCTAGTGCATACTGTGAAGACAAATAACCAGGGACAAGAGCCAAGAATGACAAGAGGTGACATTTTACATCCAGTGAGGTCCCTGGGGACAGCCATGCTGAGACACCTTCCCAGTACACCTCCCCTCAGACCACCATGCACACAGGAAGCCGGCAGGCCTGTAAGCTGCTGTGCCCGACCCCCCTGGGACAAGTCCAAGGTCCCTTAGCCAGGCTGTGTCACCCACTTACTGTCACAACCCAAGGGAGGAGCATTTGAAAATAGGACTCCAGGTTCTCTTCTATTCTCCGGTTGAACTCTGTCACCAAGTTTCATTCCTGTAAGAGGCCACATCCACCCAGACCAGAGTCAGGAGACCAGGAAGAGACACATGCTGACCTGCGACCCTGTCCCTGAAGAGGCATCTCTATGCTTTCCACACACACTTCAAAGCAGTGCCACAATGAAAACACAGCCCACATGATGGAAGCTTGAAAAGGTCATTAGCTGTGCATGCAAACCACCACTGGGTCACCAGGCCTGACCTCCTCCAGGGCCTGAGGATGCAAGCTGCTTATGAGTTGGACAGGAAACACTGTCACATTGCACAGCCACCTTCTTGCCCCCAGACAGGCACCCTCACAGTTAGGACCCTACCCAGAATCAACCAACAGCCTTGATGGGAACCTTTTCGCAGCTGCCACTGGCTAATTCTTACTGTGTGACCCAGTGAGGAACAATGGAATGCATAATTTAAAAATGCACTTGCAATTTTGTTAACATTCTTGGCACAATACGTGGGCAATCATAGCTGTCTTTGGGGAGGGAGCACCTGCCTTTGCCCACTCCTGGCAGCACTGCTGTCCAAGTGTCTTGCCAGGCACTCTGTGACCTCAGGGGGAGGGATGCCGGGGTAACAGAGCGGTTGTCCTGCCCCGCCTGTCCCCTCGGTCACTTCATGTCCACCACTATACAGGCTATACAGATCTCAAACACTTGACAAAGGCCTTCGAAAACATACGTCAGGTTCATTCATTTCCCTCCCTATTTTCAAGCAGGCACTCATTCTCTGTGCCTCTGAACACAGAGCAGTTCTTGGTGGTTTTCCTCACCTCCTAATTGTGCACCATAATATTCCCCTGTCTAAAAACTTACTGAGGTTCCAAGTTCCTTATTCACCGTAAACTCAGTCTAGCCTCATTGGCCCTCTGGCTCTTTTCCCGAGTTTCCCAGCATTCCTGAGTCTCTTTTCCAGTCTCCTATCCCTAGAACAAGCCCCTCTTTGCCCCAGAGACCTTGCTCTCTCCTCACCAGCAACCAAACCTTCAATTACATTCAAGTCCATGCTTGAGTTTGACTTCCTCTATAAAACGGTTTTTGAATAGTCTAATGCCATGAAGGTCTTTCCATTAGTTGGGATTTCCTTAGCACTTCTGAATACATGCATGTCGTCTGCACCAGCCTTCCCATCACACACACAATCAACTGTGTCTATTTTGTATTTTCCAGCAGGTCTGTTTTCTGAAGGTGCAAACTTACCTCTCTCCTCTCTCTGCATCCCTGCCCCTTACGTGTAGTATAGCTTTACTGGACAATAATAAATGGCTCTTGGTTGATAGCCAGTGACAATACCTAATATTAGCAAGTGGTTATTGAACACCTTCTATATGCACTCAGCTAAATGTTTGACATCCATTTTTCTCATTTAATTGTCACTAAAATTCTACATGGTATATGCCATTATTATCTTTGTTTTGAATGTAAGGTTTAGTTTAGTAAGTTTAGTTTGTTGCTTATACAGCAACTGCAAAGAAGTTTAGTCTAAAGTTGCTTATACAGCAACTGAATGATAGACCCTGGCTTGGGATCAGATTTCTCTCTTCAAACATATCACGTAAATACAGGTACATATATATCACATGCTTGGCCGTTCCTCCGGGTCCCTGGACTAAAACACCTTCTTGCTTAGCTTTCTTTATTGCAACATTGCTCTATTACTAAGGCTGTGACTAGGAGGATTGTCAGATAATATCCCGAATTGCAGGAAGTGGCAAAAGATGCAAGGTTCGTTAAAAACAGACTGATTGCTAAGTTACTGGTATAAACGCACACGCAGACATACACACACAGCCTGTGGGGGAAATAAAAGCTAGACTTCTTTCCAGCCACAATGATATTGTGGATTAAGAAGCCAGGCTGCTTAAAGCTGGAGAAATTAAAATGAAATAGTGGTTTTGCTGGAGAGCTGGTGTTTATGTTTACATTGGGATGAAAAAGAAGCTAGGCCAAGAGACAAAGGCCTGGGAAGATGGGCCCTGGCATGGTGGGAGGGGCTCGTGGAGACACTGGCAGAGGTGAGGAGCAGAGCAGCTATGTGAAGAACATCAAGTTTGGGGAGAAAGTGGAAAAAAGTTTTAGATCTCTTGTGACAGTGAAACTGGTCAAGGGACAACATCATCAGCAAGAGAGGACCCTGCTGAGGCAGCATACAATTGTACTACCTTCCGATCCTTTCAGCGAATGCAGCTGCCAACGGGTGCTTTTTAAAACCCACATTTTCTGCTTAAAACCCTTCACATGTTCTCCATCTCCTAATGGATGAAGTCAAAACTCACCACACGATAGAAGGCCTTTCAAGATCTGCTGTCTGCCAACCTCTCCATCCCGTTTGGTCTTCATGCTGTGCTCCCAAAATCCCTCATGTACTTCCTCACCTGCCCCGTGCGCTGTTTCTCCACTCTGTGCCTGGCTAACCTCTGGGGCTGGTCTCCCCTCTCTCTGTGAGGACCGAGCTCCTTTGAGGTCACGCCTTCAAGGAAGCCTTCCCTGATCGTCCCATCCAAAGAAGGCCCCACCTCCATCATTCTCTTCCTAGCTTCCTGCATGTTTTTGTCACTGCACTTAATGTAACTTGACACAATCTGGCACACTGATCTGCTTATATGTGTTTGTCTCTTTTGTTGTAAGCTCCACAAATGGTCTTTCTCACCATTTTCTACTGAATGGTTAGGATAGTGACCAAGGGTACCTAGTAGGGGTTTGGTAAATACTTGTTAACTGAAAGAAGAGGAAAAAGAAAACCCTCTTTGGCTCTCAAAGAAATAGGAGGCAGGCTACCAAGGCCAGCCCATCATGGAGACAAAGGCATCTTTGGCTTCCAAATGTCCCAGCCCATTGGCTAGTGAAAAAGCTGCCTCTACTGACCTATCCCCTTGTTTGGGAATCTAACATCAGCTGCTAATTGAGATTTTGGAGATTCCAGGTCCCAGCTTTGGGTCCACCTTTTCCTCACAGGCATGAATACCATTCAGCTTCAAAGCTGCTCATTATAAGAAAACATGAGGATATCTAACATCACTCCTTGGGGGCTTTGGTCCAGCTGGGGGAACGTGGAA